ACCGAGTTTGTCTTAATGATGGCAAATGGAATGTATAATCCACCCCTGGACAGTCAGAGTTAAATACATCAGGAATCTGGAGAAATTCCTCACTCAAAACACTTCCTGCAGAAAGCCCTACATGGTTAGGGAACAGAAGAACAGGTTCTGGGCCTGGGACACAGAGCAGTGTGCATCCCACCAAGCTCCCGGGTGTAGCAATGCTGGGTAAGAGCGGGAAGGACTGCTCTTGCCAACTACCCCAACAAGTCTGGGCAGACTGCGGGCAACGAATAAACAGCAGCTCTTGCCAGCCCGAAGACCTGTGTTTACCTCGGAATGCACAGACATAATAATTTCTATGAGAACAGAGCCTCTGCTCCTTTCCCAGCAGTCCTCTTTGTTGACTGCACAGGAATCCAAAAGGGAACAATGCTCTCCAACGTGTAAGTCCTCACATCTGACAACTTCCTGTCAGCTATGTCTATTCACCCAATTCATCGGACACACGTGGAACCGAGTGTCAGGCACTTAGGAAGCCTGACTCTGGAGCCCAGCAGGAGATATGTGTGGCATCATTGAAATCAGTGCTTCTTGACTTTACTTCAGGCTTTCTGGGGATTTGAGATGGCCAAATGGCCGCTGTGAGGACACTTATCCTTTGGCCAAGGGTAGGGCAGTTTAGAAGAGATGGACACCTGACTGGGACCTTGCAGGTGTAGGTGTAGGGTGACTGGGTGGATTAGTACAAATTCTAACACATTGAGGGCTCCCTGCAGCCAGGCTCTGAACTGAGCTTTCCCTGTACCCCTTTTCCCCTTGAAATGACTGGATTTAGTAATAGCCTTTTACAGTGTAGGCCACTAACGCTTGGGGATGGAAAGTAGCTTGCTGAAAGCTGCACAGGTAGGAAAATGTAACAGCCAGAACTCACAGCTTCCTGATTTAAGGGACTGAACCACATGTCATTGCCACTAGAGAGAATAGGGATCTGTGTTTAGGGGGACATGGGAGCCGGCTGCTGGGAGCCAACCCCCTATGAAGGTGGAATAGTTGTTCACCATTTGTACTCCTCACTTCGAGGGAAAATCTTGAAGGCAAATAAGCTTGTGAAGCTGGTTCCAGAAGTTCTCTCCCATGGATCACATTGCAAAGACACAGAGTGACAACTCCACACAGACTCTTTCTCATTTCCCTCTGGGGAGCCAGGCCGTGACAGGGCTATGGAGAAAACTCAGATGCCAGGGTGAAATCAGGTTCCTGCAAGTCACCTGAGCCACAGGAGTCCCAAGCTGCTCTCAGCTCCAGGACTTGTTTGACTGGTTTCTTAGGAGTGTTTCACCCACATTAGCCAAATGCTATTAGCTGTGGAGTATGTATTTGTTTCTGGGGTCAAGCTTATGTAAAAGCAGGAGTTGGCTTGATCTATTCCTTCTAAATGCCTGAACAGAAAGACAACCATTCCCCACCTCCTCCCAACACTGTGCACACAAGCACAAATGTAAACACACACGCACATCGCATGCACACATACACATACAAAAGGCCCACTCAGTGCACACACACGAACACATGGCACACAACTACCAATATATGTGCATGTACAGATACGTGTGCACACAAACACACAGGTGTACTCATAGGTATGTACCTGTAGACATGTGCATAAACACATATATGTGTGACAAGCACACACATATGCACACAAACCTATCATACAAAGCAATCCAATTCTACGGTTGCTACTTCTCCCTTCCTACCTTTAGGGACTGGTCCGGCAGCCTGGAGAGGTCTTTCTCTGCCCCCTGACACCTCGGGGGTGTCTTCATCTCTCCTTAATTAAGGGGCCTTTCTCCTCCAGATCTACAGTTATTCTCACTGGGAAGAGTCTCCAGCTTCATGAGGGTAATAAGCTGAAAGGCAGAAAGGAGGGTAACTGTCCTGGGCAGGAGTGTCTACCTCCTACAAAACCGAGCTCTTCTCTCCCCTTGTGGACCACGACTCTCTCTCCCTCCTCTGTCTCATCAGTACACCCTAGCCTCTTCTGCTGAGCTTCAGTTGTTCGTAACCCTTAGCATCTCCCTTGTGTCCCGCACACACAGTCAGGGGCATGGCTACCACAGCTGGGGACAGATGGGACATCTCCTGCCCTACTCTAACTAATGTGCTTTCAGTTTGCTTCTCAAGTAGTCCAAGGAACCTCAAGTGCGTAGATAGGAGCAAGTAGCTGGGCCTCCCATCCTTGGACTCCTCACTGGATAAATAATATTCCTTGTTTCTTTTACTACTCAGGCAGCCTCACAGGTGGTGCAGCCTGTAAATACACTTCAGCTAGAAAGACAACTGCAACTGCCGCATTTTCAGATCTCCACCCTGCACACTGGACTGTGCACCCAGGTGGCTATGCATTAAACCATTAGACGCTGAAGCTTAACTAGGTTTTGGCAACAAATGCCATGTTATTTCCTCTCCTAATTCCTAGTTTGACTGACTCTAGTCCCTGAACCGTGGGTCACTTGTGCATAGCTATCCCTGGTGCTGACTCAAAGAGGAAAAAGGGACTCCCATCCTTGTAGACTGAGCCAGTGTGTAGCTGCCTGCCTTCCTACTTAGGCAGGAGACTGGATGAAAAGAGTGAAGAAATTACTTTAGTGTCTATGAATGTCCTGGAAAAAGAAAACGTGGCCTTGGAGGGAAGCAGGGCCTGTTTGCAGGTAGAGGTTGGAGAAATAGTCAAAAGTCATAGGCCTTTCCTTCTTGGAGATTCCCTTTCTTCCTCCATAATAGAAGAGTCACCTAAAAATGATCACCTTCCTGTCCCATGACGGGACAGAGCTAGATGCTTTTCTAAATGAAGACCCACTGCATTTGGAATGGCACTGGTTAGACCCAGGGTCCAAAGCCATGCTAACATTCAGGTCCTTCGTTTTCTGGATTCATCTACAACTTGAAAATGGACCAGAATTATTTTTTATTTCAACCAAGAAAGACATAATAAGAACACAATGATCTTCAAATAGTTTCTTGAGGTTTACATCAAAGGAGATCCACCTTATCCTAGAATGTGAGGTTTATCACAGAATAATGACATCTTCTGTTTGTTCTGAACTTTATACTTTGATCTTAAGTAATCTTGTTAGATATGGTGGATGTATCATCCTAATTAATAGTGAAAATATTGAGACATAATGTTCCACATCAGTGGTGGAACAGGAACCAGGAACTGAAGACTCTTGATATAATTTGAAAATTATTATTTAATATCAAGGGAAAATATCAAGACAATACTTATCAAATATTTGGATTTTAATGACAGGCCCTGGTGATAAAATGAGAAGAAATGGAAATTTCAAATATAGATTGTTATCTTCAAATATTCTTTTAAAAATAAAGGAGCTCGATTGCATCTAGTTATTAAGAGTTCCACCCTTCCTGTGGGTCTCACCAAGCAGTCTGGTCACCAGACTGGAATGACATCCTCCACCCAATACTGGTTTTCAATGTCATTGAGAAATTGATTGTTTAATATTTATTGAGGCCTTGGTACTGTTCCAGAACAAAGATGAAATAATCACCCTTCATCATAATGACTTTATAAAGTTATAAAGTGGGATATTTGGTTTTGAATCTCTCTTTATATATGGATCCTCCTGAACTCAGAAGTGAGGTAAGGATGAGAATGCTTATTGTGTTTCACTGGCTGAACCAGATAAAGGTGGAATGTGCACATGTTTCTGGAAGAAAGTGAAGGAGTTGTTTTTTCTTAGTACAAGCTGTAGTTGGGTAGGGAGAGGGATGGGAATCTATGGAGACCAAAAGAAGACTCGCTGGAGAAAGGCATCGTGGGATTTCCATGGCAAACGACCCCTCACAGGCATGGGTTTTACCCTGGATGAATTTGGGGATGGTGCCTTGAGGGCTGAACTCTTGTTCTAAACCCTGTGCTCCAGACAGTGGGCAGGGGTGGGTTTCATTTCAGAAAACAAATCAGATGTGTGGCCATGGGAGATCCCAAATGGCTCACCATGCTTAGGGCTAATGCTTAGTAAAACCAGAGGGAGACAGACAAAGTTCTCACCCCAGCAGCCCCCTTCTGTATCTTCGTGCCTCTTGACACTTTCCAGACTGGCCCTTGATGACCATGTATTGCCTCTGAGTGTCCAGGCAGCTCTCAGAAAAGACTAGCCACTCAGTGATTTTCTTCTCTGTGAATGAAACACATGCTTCTCATCTCAAAGGAAATCAGCATAGACCACTCAGCAGTAGAATGGATAGTAGGAATCACTGAGCAGGAGGGGAAGTATCCTTGATGGGGGATAAAAAGCTCTTTCCCTGCCTTTGAAATCATGCCTGTAGTGGAGTATGTCTGTAATCCCAGCACTTGGGAAGCTGAGTCAGAATGGTGAATTCAAGGCCAACCCTGGCTATGTAGTGAGTGCCTGTTCCAAAAATATAAAACAAACAGCATCTCAGCACTGGCTATTGCTCTGAATGCATCAGGGGTCCTTGCTTTCTAGAAGCTAAAGGGTTCCCAGAGTGACGCGAACTCCATCCTCTGCTCCAATCTGTTGCCTTCTCTGGACTAGGGATTTATGGAGTCCATGGCTGCACCCACTCAGACTCAATCCGCCCTTACAGCTACCAGCAGCACCCTCAGGGAAAGAGCAGAGAGAAGAGAAATATCAAATGCAGCTCTCACTCCTCCAGACTGTGCGCCCCTACCCCCGCCCCCTTTTAGCCTGCAGAATTGGTACAGCTTCTGAAACCCACGGCCTTTGCCAGGATCCTGTGAGAACGTGCTGCAGGGGACCTGTACCCTGGGCTGATGTCCCTGCAGCAGGGTGACCCTTCATCAGGGTCAGCAGAGCTTGTGAGGTCTATGCTCCCACTGTACCAAAGGCAGTTGCACCAGACTCTCCCTGTGGACCTTCCCACTCCAGTTCTTGCATTTCTTGTCTGTAGCTGGTGTGTCCCTCTCTGGGAGGAGGATCTTGCCCAAGGACAGATGAAGGGTGTGGAGCCTTCCTCCTCCCTTTGCTGTAGCTGCAGAAAAGCAGGGGGTTCCCCTACTCAGGAAAGACTGCCTTATAGGTCTGCCTTCTGACAGATGCCGCTTCAGATCTCAGTGGCCTCCTTGAGTTCAGGACCATAAGCCTTGGGGACAGCAGGTTGACACCCGTTTGGCAGGAAGCTCAGAAGCTCCATAACGTTCAGGGGACAAAAGCATGGCCAAGGAGCTGTCTCGAGAGCAGGAGGCTGCATTCAAGGCAGCCTTTGACGAGGCTGACTTGAATAAAGATGGCAAGATCAGCATCCAGGAGCTGCGTGAGGTGTTGAAGAAGCTGGGCAAGAACATCTCAGAGGAAGAGCTGAAACTACTGATGGGCAGCGTGGACAAGGATGGAGACGGTGCCATCAGCTTCCAGGAATTCCTGGATGCGATGAAGAAGCACATGAAGCCCCCGAACAGTGAGGAGATGCGAGCTGCCTTCCACACCTTTGATATCAACGGTGACGGTCACATCACCTCGGAAGAGCTCAAACAGACCATGGACAAGCTGGGCGTGAATCTTTCTCAGGACGAGCTGGACACTATGATCCAACTGGCTGACGTGGACAAGGATGGGAAGGTGAACTACGAGGAGTTCTTGCGGGTCCTGAACCAGAAGTGAGGCCTTACCTTGTCTCTGTCTCCCTGACGTTGGCCTGCCAGGTTCTGGTGCCCTCTCAGGGACCCTGCTTTTGTGGCTGAGCTATAGGTGGATAGTCTGGGTTGGTGGATGGGAAATTACCTCATGGATGAGGAAGACTTTGCTCTCTTGGGCCTGGAAGCTGGGTGGTCTGGGATTGCTAATGAGATCTGTGCCTACTGATTCCCTGGGTGAAAGGCGGCCTTCTTGGTCTGGTCCCTCCTTTTTTTCCCCACAGTGTGATGGGTGCCCCTTACCTCACAGGGATGCTGTGATGATCTAAATAAAAGGAATGCAAAGCCCAGCTGTGTGTTCATGTTTGATTGGAAGGCCGAACTTTCAGGAGCCCCCAAATAGTACATTTAGGATTGTTTCGAGCTTCAATCCCTTTCCCTGGTCTTTGTGAGGAATCCTTGTTGAGTGACCCCTCCTCCAGGTCAGTCTTTTGCACCCTTAATGCCCAAGGAAGAGGACAGGTGAGTGGCAGTACTGGGGGGGCAGGGGAGTAGAGGAAGCAAGTGACTTTGGCCAAAGAGTTTGCTTGAGTTTCAGGTCAGGCCAGATCTTGAGGCCAAGATGGGCAGTGCCATTTATGTGCCCACCAAGAAGGACATTATCTCGGCAACATCCTGTTGTGCTTGAGCCCCAGGTAAAAAGGAAGGATGTGTGTCTCTGTGTATGTGTGTCTGCATGTACGCCCACGTCTCTTTGCATGCCTGGATCTCTGCCTGCCTATGTTGAGTGTGTACGCTTGTGTATGTCAGCATGTATGTGGGTATATGTGTGTGTCTCTGCTGGTGTGTCTATGTGTGTACATGAGTGTCTTACTGATGTATGTGTATCTGTGTGTATATGCACATGTCTCCATGTGTGGGTGTGCACACAGATGTCCTGTATTTAAGATCCAGGGTCTTACAGATATTTTCAAAAGGTGGAATACTGATGGTAAGTCCCATTCATTATGAATGGAAACCAAACAATCAGTTGGAAGTGGCCACGGAACAGGGCACTGTGATGGTAAAGGGTAGGAACTGCCCCCAGCGGTGGGGGCCACTTGTTATAAGCAGAGGGCAGAGATCTGGTGTGAGGGGTATTTTCAACTCTGAGAGCAAGACACTGATGCTCACTGATGACCTGCACCCCATAGGTACCCAGACCAAATGGCCTTTCGAGTCTCTGATGTTGCCTTCAGGTCTTCCATCTGAGGGATACATCCCAGAGAGGAGTTGGGAGAGCAAAAATGATGGAGAAAGGATACTGAGATCACGGTGGTCACGTCCCAGCCCCATGTGCAAGCAAGGCCGCTATTTGAACTTATATTAGGGTAATGCTGTGTGTTTTGAACATGAGGCCAGTGGCCTGCTTCTTGTTTAATAAGCCTGGGCTTTTGTTTCCTTCTCCACGACATGGACTTTTCTTTGGTGTGTGAAAGTTAGCTCAAAGAGTTTGTGATGCTGCCCTTACTTTAAGCCAGCCATGTTCTCACCTATGGTGGTGAGACAAGCAAAAAGGCTGTTCTGAAGAGGTATTGCAAAATGCAGAGCCCAGTGCTCCTGCATTCTGCACATTTGTGGTAGCCCTGCATTTGGTGTGGTGAAAGGCTAGGCCCGTCCTCTGAATCTGGACTTGCACACAAACCCCAAAGGAATGAGGGTCTGGCCGACTTCACCGAGGAGGGGCTGCCACATCTGTGAATTTTTCTTTTAACTTTCTCGGCTGGATGTTATCGCAGGGTCACTCCAGGCTCTCTAGCCTTACGTGTTGCTACCTTGCCCCTCCTAACTCTTTCCCCTCAGTCCGGCACATGTGGACCCTTCCAGCCTGCAGGGGTAAGACCCAGGGCCTGGGGGAAGGTAGGATGGGTTGGAGAATGAACCTGAGCCCTCTCCCTTGCTGCTCCAAGAGTGGGAGGGGAATATGGGGAGGGCAATGATGAGAAGAACCTGGTGCAGGGATGAGAAGGGAAGACAAAGAAACAGGACAGAGACCACCTCAGATTGTGTTTCCAAAGTAGTGATTTCTTTCTTTCCTTTTTTTTTTTTTTCGCACTATGTAGTTGAGACCGACCTGGAACTCACTATGTAGCCCCGGCTGGTCTAGAACTCACAGTGATCCTCCTGCCTCAGCTTCCCAAGTGCTGATATTAGAGGCATGTGCCACCACACCCGGCTCAAAGTAGTGATTTCTTAAGGCTGAGCTAGTCCAAAAAGTTTCCCAGGATCTGTATAGAAAAATAAAATAATTTTTAAAAGAAAAAGAGAGATTTTTTGTTTCATTTTAAAAATACTGAGAATATGTTCTTTCTATACTTCCAGGGTTAAGTGCTCTTTCTGGCCGCTGTCATCATGGCTGGAGCTGGAGCTCTGTGATGGAGTATTTGCCTGATATATGAGTTTGGTCACCAGCAGTACAGAAATGAATGAATGAATAACTGTAGGTTCTTTTCTATAGGCTCTTTTTGCAAAAGTGGCCCAAGGGCCAAATCTTTGAGAAGAAACACACTGGGACAAAAAGTTCTTGGAATCCACAAAGGAAAGTCTTCATCCCAGAACCCCATTATTGTACTGTTAGCTGACTGTGCAACTGTCTCTGCAGCAGACAGATATTTGTTGGGTGTTCTGTTCCGTCAAACCCTAACCAATAACTTAGAAACAGAACAGAACCAACTGTTAAGGGAATGTGCCAGAGAGAGTAGCTAAGATTGATTTGTGGGGGAGGCATTGAGAGGCCAGGGCCTAGAGACAGCTGATTACAAAATTTCCATGTGCTCGCTGAAAAAGAATTCAATAGCATAAGATAAGTGAAAGGGAACAGAATATGAAACCTTCACATTTGTACTTTAGCATAGTGTTGTTTTGAGCAATTAAATAAGCAGATGCAGGAGAAATTCTCTGCCTTCGCCCTCTCTGTCCAGAAGCAGCATAGGAAACTCTGTACTGAATTAGAAGGAGGGGAAGAGTCAACCAAAGGGAGAACTTCCTAACACATCGTTCTCTTCCATCCCCAGGACCAAAAGAAGAAAATAAACTACTAAGAGATCATATTTACACTGAGGAACTCATTCCCAGGAAGGGCTTGATGAGTCCACAATACAACAAAGTAGCAGAAACTTTTTTATTGCCCAGACCAAAAAGGGGACCTGAAGAGGAAGTGATATGTCCTAGGTCTGAGAGTAAGTGTAAAAAAGGACCTGGGATGGAATTCAAGTGCTCAGAAAGGCCACCTCTATCCCCTAGCAATGCCAAAGGGTCACCTGGTCACCTGGGCAAGACCTGGCAGAGAAGAATGGTCAGAACACATAGGGTGCGATGCCATAGGTGCTAATGATTCTGAGTCACACCTGACTCTCTACGGAAGACACAGAAAAGCCTTAGTTGTTAGCTGTGAATTTCCTCGAAGGCCCTTAGGTGAACATGGAGCCTCCCTGCTTGTGTTCAGAAGAAAAGAACGGCCAATGTTCAGGAAGCATCATGGGGCCAATGTGGCTTTAGGTCACTCAGAGAAATTCTATTCTTGGAAATCCACTTCTTTGAAAATTAATTTTCCAAAAGACTAGTTCTGTAAATGAGAAGTTTGCTGTTATATTGCAATTTACCTAAATAAATAAATAAATGAAATAAAAATATAAACATTTATATGAGAGGAGCTATTTAAGTTATTGAATATTTTAAAAAAAATTTTAGCTATCCAGTTTGAATTTCTAGTTGCATTTAATTTTACTCTGAGCTTAAGTTATTTTACTGGCATTCAATTCACCTAACCTTTCCACCACAACCTGACAAAGTTCTCTGGTTTTGTTTGCTTGCTTATTTGTTTTGCTTTTATACTTTGGTCCTTTGGCTTTTGGAGCAGGAGTTTCTGGTTCGTTTTAAGATTCAGCCATTGAACATGTCTCCAATATGAAGGATTTTATAAAGTACAGATTGGGCAAGTTTCTCCCTTCTAAAAGATTTTTAGTATAGTTTACTGATGTAGTAGTTCTCTTAATTCACAGATTTATTACCTGACTCAGGCAAATTGATTTTTTTATTTGTGGTATTTGGTAATTTCTCAGTGTCTTACATATGAGTCACACACAAAACTGACATTTAGCTGAGGAAAATTGAACTGGTGAATCTACTGGAGCTGGCTGGTGAAAAATAGCTTTGATGAAACCCAAATTAATGTTATTAAAGCAAAACTTTTCCCCAAATCCTCTAAGATGTTAAGTAGCAAACCAGTTTTGGGTGAATTATTCTCTTCACTTCAAATTCCATTAACTAAGTAATAATTTATATCTATTTCTGACAGGCCTGGTGATCTAATCCTTTTTTTTTCCTCATTGAGTTTATTGGTATATTTTAGGTATATAGTATAGTTACATTCATTATTGGGATCTTGTACCTTTATATGACAGGTCTTGGTTCTCATTTTTTCCCCTTGTCCCTGTCTAATCCCTCTTTTAAGGTCTATACTCCATGCCTTTTCCTCCTGTAGCTCTTCCAGAGCAGGGCCTGGCACAGAGGGTTTTCAGTAATCCTTTTCAAGTGAATGACTACTGGTGACCTCACTCTTTTTCCACAGTTCTTACCAAAGTGCACCTGGTATAATTTCTGGTGAAAAAGGCCTATTCTCTCCCTTCAGAATCCCGAATGAGAAAATACATCTCACCAAAGTTTAAATGAGATTGTAAATTCCTGGAGCATGTTTACTTGAGTGCAAAATCTTCCTAATATGATAGTAGCTGACACAGGCATTGCCCAGAAACCATAAGAAGATCTTTTCTTGTGTTGACAGGGTTATACGGAGCTTTTACACTATTGTATTCGACAATAGGAGGGAAAATACAAGGTGAGATTGAAGAAAGCAGCCTTTTCTCTTATTCCCTATTGTCTAAGAACCATTAAATCAAGTTTCATATGATTCTAAAATTTCAATAGATCATTCCTTCTTGGTCTAGAAATATGGAGACTCTGTAACATGTCCAAGCAGGACAAAAATTTAGATGTTAGGTCATGTGGACCAGTTAAAAATATTTCAAACTAATGAAAGCTCTTTTGCAAATGGGAAGGGGATCAAAAGATGGGCAGAGGTAAAGGAAAAGTAAAAAGAATTAAGATGTGTTATGTACATGTACCAGCATCCCATGATGAATGTAATCATTATGTACTACAAACAGTTTAGAAAAAATTTTAAAAGATTTCAAATTAATACTTCTTTTTCCAAAAAGTTAAAAAGTTAAAGAGCAGGCTCCCACATGTTCCAAATTATCAGGAAAAAATCT